GAAAAAGCCCCTGGAATAGACGACCGGCCACTGCTACATCTGCAGAAAATACAAAAAAGGTCCACGACTTCATCAGTCAAAATTCGAAAAAGTCTGTGAGGAATCTCGCTAAGAAGATGAAGATAATTTTGACAAGCGTTCGGAAAATTTTCACAAATGAACTACATATGAAGCTTTTCAAGATACAGAAGGCGCACATCCTGACCGATCCAAAGAAAGCGACTAGGGTCGATCGAAGTAGCGAGTTGCTTTCTAGCTTTGCGCTGGCGGAGCTCTCCGACATCGACTGCAGCGATGAAAAAATTTTCACGGTTGAAGAAGCCGTGAATCTTCGAAACCATAGGATCATTGTCCCCAACGTTCAAGCTTCCAATTCCAGTAGAAGAATTGTCAGTCGCACGAGCCAACCTTTTCCGGTCATCGATTGGGTTCCAATCAGGCAACGAGCAAGAGCTTTTTGGTTTTCGTGCCGCAAAACGTCAACGTCCTTCCATGCCAAGAAACAAAAATCCTCAAACAGTGGTGCAAGAAGGAGCTTTCTGGCTTCATGGACACTTCAGAATGGCCGCCTTATTTGCCGGGTCTGAATCCCCTGGACTACTCCGTATGGGACCGTCTGGAGTCCGAGGCCTGTACTTCACCACATCAGGAGATCTTGTCTTGCCTCAATAACGCGTTTCCCAAGAGTCTTTGGGTTTGCATTCGCGAGCGCCGATCTTGTTAATAAACTTTGATGCTATTTTGTTGTTATTGTTCTAAATAAACTATCCACAAAACTTTGAATCAGTTTGTTAATACTGCGATAAATTTACTGTCGATTATATTTGCTTTCATAAGTTCCCCGCTCCCTGTAGTAGTTCCAAACAAAAAGTTTCAAAAAAGATAAAAATAATTCGCTAATCCCAATAACCTCTAAGTCGTACAAAGTTTGGGTCTTCCTCTGTGCGATGACGGAACTGGACAGGAACAGCTTCCGAGCTGTAGAAGTGTTCGATGACCCGAACATAAACATGTACATTCTGCTCGCTGACCATATGATCTCTATGTAATATAATGTGTCGTTTTTCTCAGAAAGATAGTTTCAATTGAAACGCCTAAAAGTCGGATTACTCACTAATTGCATTTGCGGGTGTCTTCTCAGAAAATATTTGACCCATGGAACTGCTGGATGAGCTTTTTGTTCGTAGTTTAAGATGTAACTACGGGCTTTCTGATAATTAGAGAAATAAGTATAATGAAACTGAAAAAAAAC